AAAAAACTGCTATTTTCAATGACTACATATTTTTGTCCAGCTTTAACATCGGTATCGACATCGGTTATCGGCTATATGAGTTTTAAAATATCGGCATATCGGATATCAGCCAAAATCCCAATATTGTGCATCCCTACTTAAAGTATGCATTTCCTACTAGTAAGAATAGATCAGTGGATCTTTCTTAAACTGGGTTTTTAGATTTACAACAGTTTTGAGTAAAAGTATCTGATCTCATCTTTCAAATCTCTAGTATCTGCATTTTAACAATCTATTTTTATTTGATTTGATTTTGTGTAAAGCACTTTGAAAACTTTGTATAAATAGCCTATATCTTAATAAAACAGCTTCAGGTGCAGGACAAACATCAGTAAAAATTCTCCAAGAAACAGTTGGTATTTTATATGTCATATTTTTAATCCAGTTGGATTATTTTACAAAATATCTTTAAAACAAACAAGTCATTGACTCTGGGCCCTGGGCCCCCATCCAGGGCCCCACCACACCGGTTAGAAAGCTGTTGTTAAGTTCCAGTTCGGGTTTAAGTCACAGTTTTTATTCCTGCTTCTGGTTCTGCCCACGTTTCTGGACCTCCCGTCCCTCCAGCGGACCCAGCAGAATCCCCTGCGCCTCCAGCAGAGTCGTGTCGGTCTTGGCTCCCAGGAACCGGGCGGTGAGCTCCGGATCCAGGATCTTCAGCCGGACTCTGGAGCCTCGCTGCAGCCGCTCTCCTCCAGCTGCGGGTCTCCGGCAGACGCAGTGAAACTTCCCTCCGTAGTCTATATACAGGTCATCCCGGACCACATGGAAGATCCTCCCGACAACCACATTGTCTCTAATCGGTGCCTCCTTGAACAGCGAGGCGAAGGTCTGCTCCTGTCCGGGGATGGAGCCGCTCTGGTCGCCATCTGCCTCCCGTTGGAGCTCCGCCTGCCGCTGAAAGGCTGCCGCGAAGCCGGACCCAGGCCTGGCTCCGTCATCGCAGTCCGAGCTGAAGGAAGTCCGGATGGAGATGCTTGGCGAGAACCGGACCGCTGACCGGACCCCAAACCTTAGCTTACACAAAGCCGCCATATTGTCCTCCAACACCGGAAGAAGAGGAATTCGCTTTGACTGCCTGTTTGGAACAGCGCCCCCTAATGACGGTGAAGCAAACCATTCTTCTTCTTTTGTTTTTTTTTAATGGATGGCAACCAACTTACTGTGCATTTACCTCCACCTACCAGACCGGAGTGTGGTCATCAATGATGTCAAACTATTTATTATCAACCAGAGTTTGGTTATAAAACAAAGATGGAACATAAATCTTACATAGTTTCATAGACTACCGCCTTGTTTTCTTTTCCAATATCTTTTTTTTTTTTTTGTTTTTTTTTTTCTTGTTGTTTTTTTCTTTTGAATTTTGGTTTATTCCTTCCAAAGGTTGATTTTCCCGGTTTCTTTATGCCTTACCAAAACAATTTATCAATCACATTAAAAATATAAAAACATATTATCCAATAACCCCACAACTTCCCAAGTTATCTATTAATGGAACATTAATCACTGACCAAAAATTCAATAACCACACAATTAGGAACTGTCTAAACGAAACTTTATTCCCTGGGAAAATAAATAAAAATAACATTCTTTGCCAATTTGAGAAAAAAAATCAATTGAACCATTGAGAACTTTTTGTCTAAAACTCCCCATATACCAAAAGCTAAAGATACTCACTTTAAAATTTTAAATGCAATTTACACCTCAAAGGAAATACAAATAATGTATTTTAATACTGATGACAATAAATGCTCATTCTGTGAAAGTGATATAGAAACAGCTGACCATGTCTTCTATGAATGCGATCAAATCAAAAATTGGACTTCCTGAATGTATTTCTAGAAATATGGTAACTTTTGGAATATTATTGAAAAACAAAACAATAGAAATCTATTGTAACCTAATTTTGTGCTTAGCAAAATTCTTTATTCCTAAACAAAGAGTGTTGAGATCATCCCCAATCTTTAAAGTTTTTTTTTTTATCTTAAAGTTATATTTGAAATCTCTTAAATGTATCGAATCATACGACTACCTGACTGAAATACTGATGGGTTTTCCCACCGATGTTCATCAATCCTAACATGAATCCCCTTGTTCCCATGTTAATATTTTTTTCATTATTATGAGCCTCTCCTTTTATTTTTGTTCCTTGTTCTTCCATTTTTGCAATCTGTCTCTACTATGCCTTCAACAGATTTGTACTGTTGCTATTGCCTTACTTGTTTGTACTTACTTTGTTTAAATAAATATATTTTAAAAAGGTTTGTTTCCTCTGAATATTTAAGAATGTCTAGGTCTGAAAGCAATGTTTTTTACTCCGTCCACCAGGGGGCGCCGATGAAACGTCCTATAAATTCTCACGCCTGCGCAGTCCGCTAACTCACCATTCTACCACACGAAGCCAAGATGGAGGTGTTTGTTGTGGCCCCAAGCATCGGATTCAGATGGTCCAGCTGTGAATTCCCACCTGGTTCCGTGGTCAGAGATGTTCTGGAAAGATTTGTCCCACAGCAAGTGAGTATTTAAAGTGAACCAAACCGAGAGAACTTTGATTTGGAGGCACAATCAGAGCTGGTAGCCAGAGTTAGCAGCTAAGCTAGCGGAGGCTAATGTGGAGAAAATACAACACGTTTAGAATAAAGTGATGGGAACTCAGACAGCTCAATTAGACTCTAAATAACTAAGCTGGAATTCCTCCAGAAGACATGGCTGAGCTGCTCAGTAGCATAAAATGAAGCTACACGGAGTTCTGCTAATGAGTTACACCAGGAGTCAGGTCTGTTTACACTCAGAAGTTACAGGACTGTCTGCCTTCGAGCAGCTTTAGATAAGCTCTGGTATTCTTGTCGAGTCTGTTTTCCTTTAGAAGTTCTGCGCATCCTCTCAGAACATTTTGAAATAAACTGAGCTGTACATTGTTGGTAAGTTAAGCAGAGATTTATAGACAGGGGAGCTAATGGCAGGATACAAAGAGGATCCCTGGGAGCCTAGAGACAGAAACCAGAACTGGGACTGAAGTAGGTGGGTTTGAGATGGGTGCTTTACCTCATCCCAGGTCAGGGTCTTGTTTCATAAAGTGGATTTAATCTGTTCTGAGTAGAGAGCGGTTATCCTGATTCAACTCTGTAATATTAGGATTCTTGGTTTTAGAACAGCTGATGCCAGCAAGCTAACTCTGAGTTAATTCAGCTAGGATGAATCCTTATCAATGGACTGCAGTAAAAACGATCCATAATGGCAGCAGGACATAATGAGAGGTTTCAATGTGAGTATTTCTCACTAATGGAAATAAAAATATGAAGCTAGAAGGTGATTTTAAGAATATATTTCGCACAAAAAACTATACTATTCTTGCAGTAAATTAAGGAGACCTAGTAGTAAATCAGATAAGGTCCAGTTATCAGCAGTTAGTGAGTTTTTCCTCTCCACTGTCACTACAGGCATGCTTAGTGTGAGGGATTGCTGAAGAGTCAATGAGTCGATGCAGTCAACTGGTTTTCCTTAGATAGAAAACTTTGAATCAATCTGACTGGATGATCTGGTGAACTTTAAAGTGCCTTGAGATGACGTGTTGTGAATTGGCTCTATAGAAATAAACTGAATTATGTTTACCGTATTTTCACGACTATAAGGCGCACATAAACGTCTTTTTTCCCTCAAAATGTGCGGCGCGCCCTATGTGTGTTGTTACTGCGGACGTTGTTGAGACGGCCATGAGAACGTTAAAGGGGGAAGTGTGGGCATAGATTGTGTATAAAAGAACAGGTATGTGCTTTATGCAGATCTCCTCATTGAGGAGATGATGAAAGAGCGGCTGAGGGAGGTGTATGTAAGGAGACCAGGTGGTTTTTTCCACGCATCAACATCGCTGTTAATCTGTGACTCCATGCATGCCCATCTCACAGCCGATGTGAAAAACATGGTGTAACACCGGACGCAGCAAGAGCAGCAAAATCGCATCTGCTGCTTCATTTTTGCTGCTTGTACCAATTAGTTCTGACGGGCGGCTGAAGCAGCTTTGCTGCAAAAGTGTGTCTGACGCGCGTTGGACAGAGCTACTCTATCCTTTCTTTGCCTTGCAGCTATATTTGCTGTGATCAGTGGGAATAAAGTAGTTTTAATATGTTTTTAAGTGAGAAAGTCCACCTGAAAACGTAATCATTGCAGTCAGTTCATCCAGATTACCATCCTGCCTTCTAATATTAGTTCTGTCTGGCCGGGTCGCCTCCTCGTGGTTCACCGCGGCAGCTGGTAGGTGTTTCTCATCTAAATAATCTAAACTACAGGCACCAGGATAATAAAAGTGAACATATTTTGCCGGCAGATTTCTGCATTTTCACTTAATTTATCCGTCAATAAACTGTTTCAGAGGAGTGATCACAGTGCTCTGTGTCATCAGCGATGTGTCTGTATCATGGCCAGCTCCCAGCTTTGATTAATATTGTGTAATAATTACATGAATACAGCACAATCATACTCAGTTTTGCTCCCGCTCTATTTTTAAATACGCAGTAGAGGTATTTAAACGTAGTAGAGGACATGTACCTGTATATAAAACCCGCGCCTTATGTGTTAAATACAGTAATGGCACACATAACTGAGACTGCGCCTTATGGTCGTGAAAATACGGTAACCTGTACCTACTGAATTAGACATTAGTTGGCTTTGTTTTACAAATGCAGTTAATTTTATTAAAGAGCAGAAATGCAGCTAAAAGCTCTGTGACAAACTAAGGTCCCTGCAGGGGTCACACCAAATATAGCAGTTTCAGGGGCAGAGCTTATCTCTCTGTCATAAACGTCTGAAAATGTTTGCTGAAATGTTTACTGTTTTGTTTTCTCACTCAGGACTTTTATGTCTCCACCAACGGCCGCCTGGCCCATCTGGGAGACCATCTGCAGAATGGCGTCGTCTATCACCTTGAGCCACGGCTCTGTGGCGGGAAGGGAGGTCAGTTTCAGGAAGTAGACCTTCCCTGATTGGTGGCTTGGTTGGTTGGTTGGTTGAGAGCTCGTGTTTTTATTGGTCCTCCAGGTTTTGGCTCCATGCTCCGAGCTCTGGGAGCTCAGATTGAGAAGACGACCAACAGAGAGGCCTGCAGAGACCTGAGCGGCCGGCGCCTCCGAGATGTCAACCACGAGAAAGAGTAAGCTCCTCCCACTCCTAACAGGGTTCAACCATTGAGGCGCATAGCAAACTGGTTTTATGTGAGGACAGGCCAAAGAGGAGAGTGGCGTCGCTTAAGGTTCTATGTCTATAGTAGGCTTGTCCCGATCCGATCCACGTATCGGATCGGGACGCCGATATTGGCAAAAAAATGC